TGTGTGTGCACGGGTATAATATATATATACGTATATAACGCGCTTACACACTTTGGCCGGAAGTTATTTGAATATTTTAATTGCTTCGTTCAAATCTCGACTACTACTACTACTACTACTACTGCCGCCGCTGCTGCTGTAAGAGGAGTAGTAGCACTGGTAGTGGCTCACCTCGTATAAGTGTAATATTATCCAGCGCAGGGCACGCAGGACTTCTCTCTCTCTCTCTCTCTCTCGCTCTCTTTTTAACCCAGTCGAAATCTATTGTGCGCCCAGCGGGTGGTAGGCGCGCACAGGCGCGAGTAGAGCAAGTGTATAACGTTATATACCTATATTATATACGGTATATTTTTACCGACGACGACGACGACCCCCCATTTCCCCCCTGCTGCCCCGCGCGATACATGAAAGTTGAATTAGAAGGGGAATTACACTTCTTCCTTTTTTTTTTTTTTTTGGTGTGTGTGCACTCTATAGAGCTCGTGACGGTATACGAGAGGACGAGCAGTGGGACAAAACCGCAACGTTTAAAATCAGAATATATATACGTATATATGTCAAAATTACACGATGAATATGTATCGCGCGCCGCGAGAGGTGCGACGAGAGAGAGAGAGAGAGAGAGAGAGAAAAGGGAGGAGAGTACCGGAGAGAGATATATACTAATATACTATACGTTTGCGAATAAATTTGCCTCTCTCTCTCTCTCTACCTCTTTCTATCTCTATATCTCTCTCTCATTCGCTCCCTAGGCTCGTACATTATTGAAATTAACACTGCTACTGCTGCTGCCGCGCTGTAGCTCTCGGAAAAGCTTGTCGACAGCCGCATATATTTACGATGCATCATTGCGTTGGCACACACACACACACTCTCTCGCGCGCGCGAGCGAAGCAGCGCCTGCGGTGTACCGTCGATTTAAACCGTTCGATGTGTTGTATATAGATAGATAGATATAGGTGCTGCGAGCGCAACAAGGCGCAACCCGCCGATTATAATAAATTACGAATCAAAAATTGAAGGGAGGCGGCGGCAGCGGAGTAGTAGTAGTAGTAGTATATTCAGAGGTGGGATCGGAGAGGGATTTACGCGGATTTGAGAGGCAATAAAAAATAGGAAAAAAGAGAAGAGAGACGAGCCGAAAAAAAAAGAGAGCGTGTAACGATTTTTTTTTTGCTCTCTCTCTCCCTTATATACACGCGGGGTGAATGTACATTATGAAGCTCTGCGCGCGTTGACGTCTATATACATACATATATACGTGTGTGTGTATAACGTATACAAAACGGAGGTGCAGGTAGTAGGCAGCAGCAGCACTCGCTTATTAAAAAACATTCACGTCAACGCAATCTCCGACACACACGAGTCTTTTCATCTCTCTCTCTCTCTCTCGCGGCGGTGGTGGTGGCGGGGGTGGCTCTTATAGGCGCCTTTTTTTCGCGCTCCTTTTTTTTTTTTTTGCGCTACATACTGCGCGACCCCCGTGTATACCTGTGTGTGTGTGTGTGTGTGTGCTTATGTACTCGGCGGTGTGTTTATACCTATTTTTCGAGCCCCGCGCGCGCGCGCAAAAAAGCGACTAGTATAGTAGTACATCGCCGGGTAGAGAAGAAAACGGCAGAGATGACGAGGCACCGCACGGTAATATTGCGGCGCGAATAAGGGACGCGAAAAATCAATGCGCGGAAAGTCGAATTTTTTTCCTATATAGCGACAAAAAATATTGCATACAACCGTCTGCAGAGACAGAGAGATATCGACGCGAATGTTATATTTAATTACACGATGCGCAATCATCATCTATAGACAATATGACACTGGCTGTCATCGTCGTCGTCGTGTCCTCTTACCCCATTTCGTTACTCTCGGTTCGTTACACAGTATAGAGAGAAAAAAAAAATCTCGAGTGATCGATTACCAATCGCCTCTTCTACTCTCGTTCGTGTCTGAGTATCTGTGTGTGTGTGTGCGTGTACGTGTGTGGGAGGCCGCCGGCCGCTGCAGAAAAAATAAAAGGTAAATCAAGTCTCTCCCCTGAACATACACACACGTATACGTAGGTATATATGTGTGTGTGTACGTTCCGACGCCGAGGCTAATTGCCGTAAACCAGGTCTTGTAAATGGCGTATACGGCGGCGTCGGCTCTCGAGAGCGAATTGCTAATTTCCATGCCCATTACAAAACTCGAAACGCGCCCCCCGCGCGCGCCGCCACGAATACATAATTATTTGCGCTCGGGCTTATCGGCTCTCGAGCATCGTGTGTAAAAATGGAAATTCATACGTTTATATATATATATGGTGGCACGGTACACCTCTGTATTATTTAATAGTTGTATGTTATGCAGGTACACGCGTCGCGCGCGTGCGTGTGTAATAAAGACGCGGGCAACAACAAACAACGATGGAAAAGAGGTAAGGAGTCGAAGAGAGCGAAAAATGTAAGTGTGAGTCGAGCTATGTTATGTAGGGAAAACGAAAAAAGGCGTGCGATGCATTTTTCATAAAGCGCAACACGTTACGCTTGTAACAACTTTGTGTGTCAACTTTGCCCTTTTATACCGTACATTTATACATATATACGAATACATATTTAAATCCCCTCATTTCTTTACGCTTTATATGGAAAGAAAAAAAAACGACCCCCATCCCCCGCCGTATAACAACTCTTTGCCACGCGCCGGTTGAGTGTATCCGCGCGCTAATAGAGAAATTTTTGTATAATATATGGTACAGTCTCGTTGAGAAATTAATTATTTGAGCTCGCGTACTTACGCAATTTATTTGTTTATTCGTTTATTCTTTTTGATTCTGAAAAATATCGCACCCGAAGCGAAGGGTCAACGACCTCTCCACGTAACAATCACTTAAAAAAAAAAGAAAAAAAGAACTCGACGCGAGCTTGCACCCGTACCGTGTGCAGCAGCAGCGTCGAAAATGTTGAAAAACTATATCGTCTCGTGAATATACTCGTTTTTTTTTCTCCTCCTACCTCTATATGTATATAGTAGTACGTAAGCGAGCCATTACACCTGTACACCTGTACACGAGCGCGAGTCTTTGAAACCGCTGTAAAGTAAAATAGAAGAGAAAAATTTTCTATCGCGCGAGCTCGAGGCGTGTATATAATATACGTATATCGTAAATGCACTTGCATTACGCGCTAAAGGTGTGCATTAAGTAAACGGCAATATTTAAGAACGCGGAGTATCATTATTAACTACGGGGTGGGCTCCCCTTTTCTTTTTTTTACATTTTCCATTCACAGAGGCATCGCTCGTCGATATATAAATCCACGCTTATGAATAAATTCACAAAGACACGCGAGGCTTATCGCGCGTATGTCTCTTCTTTGTACCTTTGTAAATTCGTTATCGATATGTGAATAGCTTAAACACCCGCGCGCGTGTATACGATATATCGGATTCGGAATCGATCGATCGAGATTCGCAAACACGCGGGACACGGATCGGTTACACTCGGTAATAAAGTACAGTCGGAATGTGTGTGTAAACTGTAAACAAGCAGCAGCAGCAGCAGCAGCTGATCGCGTGTACATACACATACAGAAATTTTACGCATTAACGGAGAAGTCAAGAAGTCAATTTCATCGATTCGTTATGTGTGCGTAAGACGATATGTCGCAATATTATATACCTTATATATGCGTGTGTGTGTATTGAATAATATAACCAAATCGTGTGGGTGGATTGCAAGAGTCTCACCTCAAATGTACCGTCGACGTTGCTCATATACGGTAGTGAATTTCATGCAACACATAACGACGGATATAATGTAAATACAGCACAGAGACACGCAGTGAATAGAATAAAAAGCAGCAAGACATTTAAATATTCTGTACAGCAACGACAACGACAACAACAACGACAACAATGCGTAATACGTAATTTTATTTTATAAGAATATATAATACACGTGCATGTCGATTTACCGTTCGCTGCGTGTGCACGGGCATATATATGTGTAATCTCGTGTTATTATAAAAAGAGAGCAACGACTGCTGCTGCTGTTGCTGCCGCTGCCGCCGTAGCTGCTGCTGCTTATATATATAATCTGCACTGCTGCTGCTGCTGCTGCTGCTACTCCACAACAGGAGTAAGACACACAGAAAGGAAAGAGAGGGAGATAGTGAGAGAGAGAAAATCTTTTTCTTTTCTCGACACACACACACACACACGACACGACACGACTGTTTTCTCTCGCGCACTTCTTTTTTTTTGCTCGTTGTGTTTAAATTTATAGATCGTTGCGCGCGAATCTCGGATTAATTAACGGAGAAAATCACTGGCAACGACGTCGCGACGGCAGCGCATCGGAGAGGACAACGAACCATTTATAATTAATTATACCCGCTGCTGACCGGGTCGTCGATCGAGGCACGAGGACGCACGATCATCGTCATTGTCGTCGTCGTCGTAGAGGGGCATAAAACGATCGTGAAGAATCTCTTAAAATTTAGGCAGCCGCATTATAGAACGCACACTCGTTCGAATTATTTTGAAATTGACTTATAACGTATATAAGGCGCACAACAACGACAACAACAACAACACTGCACATCTATATCTCCGCCGCTGACTTTTGTTGTATATATCGATGTATAGACTGCACACGGAGAGAGACCCGCAGAATCGCATGTAAACAGCTCTCCCCTAACCTGCTGCTGAGAAAGAGAGCTCCGCTGCTGCTTTATAGCTGCTGCACTCAAGGCATCGTATAACGTCGCGCACTATATATATATATATATATATATGTATCATACGCGCGTGTAGGTGTGCGTCGGTGTGAATGCACCGCAGGACCCCATGTATAGACGTACGGTTGTATATAACCAAACACACGAGATATGTATACGTTTGTATCGTATACAAGGAGGGGACTAACACACACACGCGCGTTTCGCGAGGAGCTGTCTTGTCTTCCTGCTCTCTCTGCTCTGCTCTCGCTTTTATATTATGGTTTAGCTGTTGCTGCTCACCTTAAAAAACAATACCATCCATGCCGCGCGCAGGCGGGCGGATTTTTGTTTCTAATGGATCTTCGTCGATAACGGAGCACAACAACAACAACAACACACGGCCGTGGACGATTTCAAAACTTTGTATTTTATATCGTGTGTATTATCGAACGCGGCGTGTCACAACGGCAACCGGACGAAGCGAACCGATATGTATAGAAACGAACAATCAAAACACCCACTTTTTGCACAACGATAAAAAATAACTATTGGCCCCCGCACACACGCGCACTGCTGAGATTATCAATGGTCGGTTGGATTATATTTTTTTTTGAAAAAACTTTTATCATTCGAAATTGCGGCAGCGAACGGAGAGCCCCAGCGCTACTACGACCGCGCTCGCTCTCGTTCTTTTTGTTATTGTAATTTTTTTAAACAAAAAATCGGAGCGGCGTCGAAGACACACACGCGCACCCGCGGTACACACACGCACACACGATCAACGGACTCGAATACGGTGCGGCGTTCGAAACGTTAGTAGTAACGGTTGTTATTATTCGATATCAATAAAATATCGTATTATCAATTAATCATGTATACATCGGATCATACGTGTGTGTATATATTATCATACATAAATATACAGAGATACTCGTCGCACTGCAGAAAATTCGCGAGGCGCTCGGCAGGAGAGGCGAGGCGAAACTGCCAGTCTCCGCTGCTGTGCCGCCGCTGCTGAGCTCTGCTGCTGCTGCTGCTCCGAGTTAGACGGAGGGGGGGGG